TATGGTTAATTATTCATATTTCCCCATGAGCTAAATCCGCTACATACTTCTGCTGCCTCCTGAGTTTCAAAGCACCACCGGACATTTTTAGATAGGGGCAGTCCACATAGCTCTGGATATTGGGGCATTTGACCTCAAGGAGACCAAATGGTGGGTTCCCAGAGGGATCAAAGATGACTCCATCAGGAGAGCTACCTAGCCATGGAGCATCAGGATGTACAATGAACCCGCAGGGTGCACGGTTCACGTTTTTAAGAGTGCAATTCTCTTTAACAGCGAGTGGCTCCATATCAATACCTCTCCTCATGTTCGTGGTCTGACCAGTCCCCTTGAGAATTCTCTCAGCCAGATTCTCTGCAGATGTATGTCCACGAACATGGCATACCTCGTGGAAGCAAGTAGATGTCACTCTTATCTTTCTCAAACGATGCCACTCCTGGCACGAACTCTGCCCTTGTGTTGCAGCTTCTATCCTGTGGGCCGTGTTGAATGACACCTCCAGAGACTTCAGGTGCAGATGTTCCTGCTCTGATAGAACATAGGCACTGGTGGTTCGAGCCTGTAGCTGTGGATGGGAAGGGAGGGTGAGGCAGGGGCAGATGGGATGTTGATGACTTCCCTCATTGCTGGTGGTTTACGCTGAAATGACAGCACGATCCCTGCCTGGACAGCTCCAAAAGCAGACTGGACTAACGGGACATCAGCTGACATGCCCATTGTTGTTACCAAGGGTGCAAGTGAAGGGGGAAAGTCTTTGTACACCTCTGATACTCTCAACATGGCAAGATCCGGCAGTTCCCCATCTAGCGCCTTGTAGAGAGAACTTCTGAAAAATATTACCAGTAAAAAAAATAGTATTAAAGTAAAAATCACTACACCAAACTTCTGCCACAACATACATAAAACCACACCGAGATACGAAGTAAAGATTATCTCACCTTACACAGTCTGTTGTTGAATTTCTGGGTTTTCGAAACTCCATTTCTCCAACTGGGCCTGGTCTAACACCCTAACATCAGAGACACATTCAACATGGCATCACAATAGCTACAATATGCACAGTAATAGTACAGTTCACATGTTACATGACTTACCAGTGTCCTTGGTTTATGCCAGATCTGCTCGGTGTCTCGGTGTCTGTGCACCGGGGGAACAGCAGGAATGTTTAGCTGCGAATAATGGGCAGTCTGATAAAGAAGTGCAACCAAACAACCAAATGATGCACAGCCCGCCACACAGGAACAATGGCTGCTCACCAAAACAACAGGTTTTGAGTGCTTTAACACCATCTAGGGAGAAATAGAAGCTTAGATGAGATACTGCTTGACAGATAAAGCATTAACAAGAAAAATAATGCTGTATTCTGAGGCTCACAGACAAAATATGAAAATGTATACATTTTTAACAATATGATACAGGCCTATTTTGCTTGG